TTAAACAAAATGAATGGTGTCATGCATTAGAATTTAATCATTATAAATCTATTAAATTTATTAATTCTCTTGAGAAACATTAACAATAATTGTATCAATAAGTTTAAATTAACCTTAATGCTATTTGCAGCATCAAACTACATTTGAATTCTTCTTCTCACACTTGAGTTATACGATTCAAGAGAATCTATTGACCATGATTTTCTGGCAAGACCTACATCTTCATTAAATACTTAAATTGGGAAGAATACGATCATACTACATAGATTGCTGAACTTTGATCCTGTAAACTTCGCATATGCAGTAGTAGGAACATTTGGCTAGTTCCTAAAAATTCATCTTTTCTATCATCATCAAAATATCCAGCTTCGACAACTATATTATTAACCAATTTCTTCTTCAACTTAAAAATTAAAACTCTAACTTTTATTAGTTGTACATTTGAAATCACCTTAAAGACAATTTGTAGATTACTATATTCAAATTTATGAATTCGGCAATCTTGAACACATTATTCTTCTACAAATAATTGTAATATCAATATACAATCTTTACTAAATTTGCTCTGTATTAGTGACTAGTAGTTCAAAAACAAGACTGTATTTTTATCTAGGACCCCAAAGAATTGTCTTTCAACATAAGATTACCTATCTGTTAAAGATGGAATATAAGATTAAGGTATTTTCTCTTAATTATACTTTTCTAACCCTTTCATAAAGTTTATTCCATTCTGTGACACTATAGAATAGTAGAAAAATTACAGTAAAATAATCATAAACTCACAAAAACTAGGGTCTTTTGTTAAATCTTTATATTCTTATACCATATATTTAGAATCTAAATATAAAAAAATAATACATGGTGTTTCATCACCAAAGTCTTGACAATAAGAACCTTTTAACTTTTAATAACGTAGTTAACAAAGTGATCATTGACCATCTCTGTGTTTATAATAGGATGATTTACAAGTTTTACATTAAAATGGTAATTCACATAATTCACACTATATTGGGAAATAGCCAGAAATGATATAAAATAGTTCAAAAGCCCAAGAATAAAAAGAAACACTAAATTTATAATTAAATATTACCCATAATTTCCTACAAGACTTAAAGTGAAGTGATATTAAGGAATATCTACAAACATTTATAAAAAGTAGGCAAAGGATTTAGTATACTATTAATAAACAGATAATATATCTATTTAAATTAATTTTAACTTATGAAATTTTAGTGAGGTGCCGAACCTTTATAAGTGTTGTTACATTTGTAAGATTTTTAATAAAAATTAAGTACCTCAAATTACTATAATTTACAATGAAATACTACCGGTCCCATAATCTAAATGAATCTCATTTCAATCTTTCTGTTCCTTGATTAAATTTAAATAGTCCTAATATGTCCTTTCTTCCCTTATAATTAAAATATATAGGCTATTGATCAGTATTTTTGAAATCTTAAAGAACTTTTATTTGAGTTCTCTCTTAAAGTTATATATAATCAGCAAAAAGTGTCGTCAAACCTTTTCAATAAAATTTAATATATACTTGGATAGTATTGACATTAATTGTTAAAGTTAAATGATTAATTGATATCACAACCTAATCCGCATCCAAGTTCTGGACGCAAAATACTATTTGAAGGACACTGCATACAAATGCCATTTTAAGGAACACTGAATACATTGATTAGATTCTGGATCAAAACATCTCTTACATAAATAATTGCATTGCATTTTTGATATTAATATATTCTTTAATTAAACTTATCCATCTCCATCATTTGATATTTTAAATTACATATAATTTGTTTGTGAAGTTAATAAAGTTAAATTAATAGTTTTAGTTTCGGCTTAGGATGTTGCACAGAATATTGAAAAGTTTTCATAGGAGTTGAATATTAATATTTAAAAACATCATTCCATGTA